GTAAAGGTTTGTTAATTCGTTAGCAGAGTGGTATAAGGAAGGGTAGAGGCCTTGACCTGGCGACCTCTGCTGAGATCCAGGCACTTGCGGAGTCTCCCTTGTGATGGAAGGAGCTCTGGATGGAGAACCAGGAGATTTAGGTCCTTCCTTGGCAGTCACTATCTTAAGTGGCTGTGGACAAGTTTATGTTTTTCTCGGCCTTTCGTTTCTGTACAGTATTAGGACAGTAGTGCTGAATGCTCATGCCCACTACCACACTCTATCCAACATGCTGGCACTCCATGAGGAGTGCTTGGCAGGAGGTTGGGAGTTGAGGGTATGGAGGCCGACTTTAGAGAGTTCAGTTCTTTCTGAAAGATGTGTTAGGATTGGTGTCGCGAAAGGGAATAGTGACTTGTGATAGCTAGCGAGGTGTGACCTCCTGAGTCTTGTCTCACACCCTGGTCACTGTGCTGGGGGCTACACAGGAGAGCTGGGGGCAGGAAAACACTCTGCCCTTATTCCCAGAAGTTTTGTCAGATGCCTTCCCTGTCCCCGTTTGCCTTTTCACCTGACCTCTGCCGAATGAGACTTTTACAGATGTGATTAGAGTGTGGAGCAGCTGTGATCACCTGGGGGCTGTCGGCTGTTGCCCTCCCCCTGAGCTAGCAGCCTCTGTCCTCTACTCTTCATCTGTAGTTGGGAAGGTGGAGTACCAGCATCAGCTTATCTTTGAAGAGTTTCTAATTGAAATAGATGTGGGAGAAACTGTGTCCCAGAAAGGGAGAAGGAAGGTCAGAGAGGGATACTCCTTGGCTGTCTTAGTGCTGACTTGAGATCCCTGCCCATACTTTATTTGTTTAAAGTGAGAAGTCAGGCCTTTTCTTTTGTAAACCTTAGTTTTTCTCAGCAAGACCAGACTAGATGTGCACATTTAAACAAAAAGACCCAGTGCATATGCCTGGAAACAATTATTTATTTTGCGAATCTAGGATTCTGCCTCACCAGGGAAAAGACATCTGAGTGGCCGTGCTGGGTCACCTGTGCCATTCGTCTTCTCTCTGAATGGTGATAGATGTTGCTTACCAGTGGTCTTGGGGATCAGGGCCCTGTATTGTGCCTCAGGAAACCTGGCCCAAGAACCATCCTCTTCCTGAGCTGCAGCCCTTGACTACGTTGAGAGTATTGTGTTTTCCCTGAAAGAAGAGATGAATCTGCAGAATTCCTGTCCACGGTTCTAATCTTTAGCCTCTGTGAAAAAGAAGCTTGTTTCTAAATGCCTTTGTTTAAACATGATTTCCTAAGCTACTGTGTGGGATCTCCTCGACGTTTGGGTGAGAATTGCAGCAAATGTGGATGAGTTGATGGAGGAATCTTCCCTCGTGTGAGGAAAGATATACCTCATTCGACTGACAGTCATATCCACATGTTGATTAAAATCTGAGCCCTTAATCTGTGGTCTCCAGATTCTTCCTTTTTATCTGATGGATCGATTGATAATCGAGCTCTTGGGTATGTTTCAGTGATGAGCTTGTTCCTTGAAAGAATTAGCCACATTGGGCAGTATCACCACCTTAGAAGCAGGCCCTTGACTCACTGGAATCTGGTGGCCTCTATGGGTTCTCTGTGATGCCCAAGTTGCCACAGCAAAACCTGCCTGTGTCTCCCTCCGCTGCCTTTGATGGGATGGCCTGCTGGCTTCTCCCGGGGGTGAGGGTGGGGGTGGGTTAGGTGTCGCCCCTTAGCTCAAAGCACCACCCGTGGTTAGCCATGGAATCTCTGACGCTGATTCTTTTCAAATGTCAGATTCTACTTCCAGTGATCCACAGTGAATGTCATATGGATGTTGCACGTGCCCTGCAACACACCCAACACTGATCTTTTCCCACCGTTTCCCAAACCTGTCCCTCCTGGTATGCTGCTGACTGTTTTGCCCAGGAGCCCAAGCAAAGGACTAGCATGTCACCCTCTCTCCTTCCTTTCACTCTTTATATCTAGCTTTTAGTACTTGTCCATTCTTCTGCTGACACCCCTCCATTCCACCCTGCTATCTGGGCCACCACCCTCCTCCCTGGCCCTTTTAATCTACTTTGACCCTCCTCCAGTTCACTTATTTCTAAACACAGATTGATTGCCTCTCTTTGTACACTCTTTGGTAGTTCCAATCACCTCCCTGGAAGGTCTTGGTTCCTCAACCTACCTTGTGCTGCTCTCCACAACCTGGTTCCTGCTGCTTCAAGAACTTGAAGCCACCCCACCCCCAGTCCTGTCTTCATACCACCAAACTGCCCATTCCCGGACACAGGGTATTATTCTGGGGCTCTGAATCTTTGAGTATATTGTGCTCTCTGCCTGAAACACTATTCCCACGTTTCCTCACCTGACTCATCCTTACTCGAAATTCACTGTGGGGTCACCTCCTCCAGGAAGCTTTCCTTAACTCCTGTGTCTCTCCTTATGTCTACTGTTGTTTCTCAAGCTTAACACTTAACATGCTATATTGAAATGATCTGTTTTTATGATGTTTTCTTCATTTGCACTGTGACCTTAGTGACCAGGTTTTGCTTTTGTGTCTGTGTGTGTTAAAATATAATCTACACAGGACCATGTCTTACTCATTCCTGAATCCCTAGCACCTAGTAGATGTTTGTGAGGTAAACAAAAATATATATGGGTGTCTGCCCTCAGTTCCTGGCACATGGCTTCTGAAACCCTTGTAATTTCTTAACTGATAAGAGCATAAAGAACATCAGTTATTCTAATATTTGGTCTTTGACTCTAGTTCCTGATACAGGTTCCTGAAATCCTTGAAATTTCTTGGGTGATAGGAGTGTTTTTTATTCTTTTTTTTTTTAATTTTTTTTTCAACATTTTTATTTATTTTTGGGACAGAGAGAGACAGAGCATGAACAGGGGAGGGGCAGAGAGAGAGGGAGACACAGAATCGGAAACAGGCTCCAGGCTCTGAGCCATCAGCCCAGAGCCTGACGCGGGGCTCAAACTCACGGACCGCGAGATCGTGACCTGGCTGAAGTCGGACGCTTAACCGACTGCGCCACCCAGGCGCCCCAGGAGTGTTTTTTATTCTAATGAGGTGACTTTGAGTGGGCCCCCAGGTGACTCCTAGATGGGAGCTAGTCACCAGAAAGACTCATGCCATGATAAGAAGCTTGGAATTTTCAGCCCTGCCTCCTATTCTCTTGAGAAGGAAGAAGAGTTGAAAATGGAGTTAATGATTGATTGTGCCCACATGATGAAGCCTCCATAAAATCCCAATAGTAGGGTGTTCGGGGAGCTTCTGAGTGAACACGTAGATGTGCTGGGAGAGTGGTGCACCCAGAGGGGGCATGGAAGCTCCATGCCCCTTCCCACGTGCCTTGCCCTGTGCATCTCCTCCATCGGGATGTTTACTTGTATCCTTTATCATATCCTTTAATAAACTGTAAATGTAAGTAAGTGTTTCTGGGAGTTCTGTGAATCTCTCTAGTAAATTGATTGAACCCAAGGAGGAGGTTGTTGGGACCCCTGTCTGTGATCGGTTGGTCAGAAACACAGGTGATAACCTAGACTTGTAACTGGTACCTGAAGTGTGTGTAAGGGCGAGGGCAGTCTTAGGGAGCCTGAGCCCTTAACCTGTGGGATCTGACGCTACCTTTGGGTAGACAGTGTCAGAATTGAGTTAAATTGTAGGACATCTGGCTGGTGTTACAAGAATTGCTTGGGGTGGGGACTCCACACATGTGATCAGAGGTGTCAAAATGAAGTGTTCTCTGTGAAGGTAGAGGAGACACACAGAGTGAAGAAAAATACACAGTAGGGAAGAACTGTTTATTTCCTTACATAGGAAGGGGGAATAGCTGTTTTTTTCCTTTACAATGTTTAATAAATGTTTGCTCTGATTTGATAATTTTACTCCTAATTCTGTATGGCATCATCAATAGGAAATTCTCATCCCTCTTCTTTCACCCATGGGGCCCTCAAGATAGAGAAGGATGGCCAGGGTAGAAGTGACTTCTGGAAAGCATTACTTCAACACTTTACCTTATCCAGGCCCTACCAGCCACAGGGTGTTAATGGTTGCAACATCTCTGTCTGGGAAGCAAATGGAGAAGCTCTTGGATCCTCATCCCAAGGAAGCAGAGTACTCTGATCCACAGCCTGAGTCACATCTAGATGAAACTGTTAGTGTCGTTTCTGAGTTCATGGTCTCCTTTGTCTCTTAAATGAAGCCCAAGATAGTTTGGTGGCTACCTGGTGGCAACGTGCTAAGGTTTATAGTCCTAAGTTCACAGGGTTTGATTTCAGCCAGCCTTGGGTTGTGTGGCATTGTATGGTGAACTGGGGAAGTGAAAGACCCTGGAACAAGATGTTAAACTGCCAGGTGAAGATGGTGCATTAGCAAAGTAATGAGAACCATCTAGAAAAAAGTAAAGTTAGGGCAGAGAACCAGGGTAGTGATGGTAGTGGTGGCAGCAGTTGTAGGAAGGAATCAACCCCTGTAGGAGGCTAGAGGACGAGGAAAGATATCCATGAGGGACACCTTGGAGAAGCTGCTTTCTGAGCCCTGCTGGGTGATAGTGTTGGAGAGTCGGCTTCCAACATTCCACACCCCCGTTTCAGGAAAGATGAGTCAGAGTAATGAGAGGAATGATTTTAACATTAAAAAAAACAGAATTTCAACTAGGATAAGGGGCCCAGACAGAGTAGGGAGGAGGGTGGGGGCAGTGACAGCTGAGCCCCATGCATGTTCCTGCCCTTCATTTGGTGTTGGAAAGCAGCATGAGAATCAGATCCAGGGAGATATAAGTCAAGACCATGGAGCTCAGACCCAACCTTTCATCTGGACCCTTCACTGAGCACTCAGGGGCCAACACCATCCTCCCTTCCAGGGAACCATATTAGAGTCAGGTCTTCAGGCTACATTTATTGAGGGGCAAGGGAGAATAGGTGAGGAGGGTGGCTGCTATCCTTTCAGAGCTATCTCTGGCTATGTTGACTTGCCCTTTCTTCTGTCTGCGTAGGTGTAGACGGGGCACTGCCTGCAGAGCAGGTCCTGCCAGCCTCGTTGGAGAGGATGCCCCCGTGTCCGTGATGGGCTGTGGGACAAGCAAGGTCCTTCCTGAGCCGCCAAAGGATGTCCAGCTGGATCTCGTCAAGAAGGTGGAGCCCTTCAGTGGCACTAAGAGTGATGTGTACAAGCACTTCATCACAGAGGTGGACAGTGTTGGTGCTCTCAAAGCTGGGTTCCCAGCAGCCAGTCAGTGTGCAAACCCTTGCCCTGGTGCCCCCACTGTCGGCCACACAGAGCCTCCCTCAGAACCACCACGCAGGGCCAGGGTGGCTAAGTATAGGGCTAAGTTTGACCCACGTGTGACAGCCAAGTACGACATCAAAGCCCTGATTGGCCGAGGCAGCTTCAGCCGGGTAGTACGCGTGGAGCACCGTGCAACCCGGCAGCCATATGCCATCAAGATGATTGAGACCAAGTACCGGGAAGGGCGAGAGGTATGTGAGTCAGAGCTGCGTGTGCTGCGCCGGGTGCGTCATGCCAACATCATCCAGCTGGTGGAGGTGTTTGAGACGCAGGAGCGTGTGTACATGGTGATGGAGCTGGCCACTGGTGGAGAGCTCTTTGATCGCATCATCGCCAAGGGTTCTTTCACTGAGCGTGATGCCACACGGGTGCTGCAGATGGTGCTGGACGGTGTCCGATATCTGCATGCGCTGGGCATCACACACCGAGACCTCAAGCCCGAGAATCTGCTTTACTACCACCCAGGCACTGACTCCAAGATCATCATCACTGACTTCGGCCTGGCCAGTGCCCGCAAGAAGGGTGATGACTGCCTGATGAAGACCACTTGTGGCACACCCGAGTACATTGCTCCCGAGGTCTTGGTCCGCAAGCCCTACACCAATTCAGTTGACATGTGGGCACTGGGTGTCATTGCCTACATCCTGCTCAGTGGCACCATGCCCTTTGAGGATGACAACCGCACCAGGCTGTACCGGCAAATCCTCAGGGGCAAGTACAGTTACTCGGGGGAGGTGAGTCTGCCCTGTCTCAGGGATGTTGGGAGGCCCCTGGGTGGGGGGATATCTTACAGCTCTTGATCAGAAGGAGGTGCTCTGAGGACCATGTTCATGGTGCCAGACAGGTAGAGAATAGTAGGATGTCTCAGTTTGGGTTTCCCCAAAAGTGAGCTCTGAGACTTGGGAGCAGATCATTTAATTGGGATATGATTCCAGTAAGCACAGATGAAGGGTGGGGAAGGTAAGGCAGAAAGGGAGGAAGCCACTAAAGGGCATATGAAGAAGTAGACTTCCTGGGGGCCACTGGAACTCCCACTGGGAGCCCTGTGAATAATCACATGGGACATGCCTCAGAATTGTACCACCGAGGGACAAGAAGGTGGGTGGGTGTTAATACACTGACTCCTGTATGAGTCGAGAATTTATCAGGGGGTGGGGCATTAAGTCCCTGGCACTTCTGGGCTGTCCTGAATGCCAGCTAGTGCTGGAGAATATCTTCAGGCAAAGAAGCAGGGAGATGCAGGCATTGGCACTGGGAGCTGTCCACATGCACAGGAGCAGCACCGTAGGTGCGGGTCGGAGCACGTGGGACAGGGCAGCCACAACATCTGCTCCACAGGGACCTGGGACAAGCTAGCGTGACCACGCCCTGTCTACAGGAGCCGCTGCTGCTCATCTTTTCCCAGTTTTGCCACACAGCCCAGAGGATTCTGTGCACCCAGACATTCCAGTTTTCTAAAGAGAAGCCAGAAAATTTGATTGTAAAATGTTGGAATCCATTCACATGTTTACGTACTATCTTCTGTACCAACAAATACTAACCTGCAGGCCAGATTCAACCAGAAGTTTGTGTCTTTGGATCCACGGATTTCCCTGATACCTGAAAAAATCTTTTAGGTTTCAGTACTGGTGGGAGCTGAAGGAAGGTGCACAAAAAGAAAGAGTTGGTTGGTTCTTAGGCAGGATGCTGACTGGGTAGGAGAGGAGGCTGACCATAGGCACCACCAGGTGCTACAAGCATAATGGTGGGCTTGGGAAGGTTGTGAATAAAAGAATATGTGATGGCTTAAATAGGAGGTGAATTAAGCTTTGTAGGAGAACAGGATTCTGCCAAGGCAGTGAGGGCCCCTCCCCAAGTTTCCCTGCAGAGTGCTCCCCATGGTGTTCCTCTCAGGCTTGGGCCTGCTGACTGCTGTCCATGCCTCCTGAACTACCCATGTGGAGGGGAAGGAGCTCTGGGACCAGCTTCCTCCTGAAACCTAGCATTCCTTCCAAGGACTTTGGACTGGGTCCTCTCTGGCCCCAGCCAACTGGCCCAGAGCAGCATTTCCTGCAGAAGTTACCCCAAAGCCTCTTGCCACTTTGTCTTCAGTGCTTAATGTCCTGTGCTCCATCAATTCCCTATCAGCTTCCAGATGTGGTTGTGGGGTCAGTCAAGGACTTCCTGTGAGGTTGGGAGCTGGCATTCCCTAGGGGGATTTCCAGGTCACGTGTCAGAGTTGTATGAGGAAGGGAGGGAAACCTTTATCTTTAAAATATACATCTATTTTTAAAGTATTTATTTATTTATTTATTTATTTAGAGACAGAGAGAGTGAGTGGGGGAGGGGCAGAAAGAGGGAGAGAGAGAATCCCAAGCAGGCTCTACACTGTCAGTGCAAAGCCTGATGCAGGGCTCGAACTCATGAACCACAAGACCATGACCTGAGCCGAAACCAAGAATTGGATGCTTAACCAACTGAGCCACCCAGACGCCCCTAGAAGCCTTCATCTTTAGACCAGCTCTGTGCTGGCCACAGGCGAAGAAGAAACTGGGGCTTTCTCTAGCTCTCTCTTAAAGTTTCTCACATCTTCTTTGCACCAAATGGATTCAACAAAACAAACCCTGACTGGCTGGGAAGCGCAGGCTGTGATGCTGTGGTCGCAGAGGACACCTCTTTGCTCACCCTCTGGGCCAGGTTTCATCACTGGCCAGAAGACCCAGCATCCACCTGCCAGAGACAGTGTTGTGCCAAGGCCTGACCTAGCTGCTGTGCACTAGGAGCTCTGTGTGATGCCAGGCTGTTAGGGTTCTTCCTGGCAGAGGGAGTAGTGGACTTAGCTATAGCAGAGAGGGAGGTTTCCCAAGAGATGTTGACAAAGGTGTTGACTCTTTCAAAAGCCTGTAGGTTTGCCCAAGAGTTCCTAATTCTGGCAGTTATTGATCAAGCAGTTTATCTAATTGGAGCTTGCAGTCTTGCTAACTGGCTATTGATTATCCGTGTCTGGAGAATGACAAATGAATGTAGTGAGGAATAGACTCAGGCTTCCTGCTCCTTCTGTAGCCACAGGACTGGGTCCTGAGCCTGCTTCCTGCTCTGTTGGAATCACAGTCTGGGGCTCCAGTGTGTGTGTGGCAAGGGGAATGGGGCACTGTCCAACCTCTGCCTCCCAACCCCTCAGTTGAAGCTGAAAGCATGAGTTCCCAGTTCCAGAGTCAAATTCATGGCCAACCCTGATGGCACCTGTCTATTACAGTAGACAGATGCCATCTGACTCCAAAAACTGGTTCTACCACCATCTACAGAGAGTTGTGGTTTGGGTGGGATTTGTCTGGGGTATTTCCTGGGTGGGGAGGTCTCATCATTAGATCAGGTGCTCTGAGGTGGGGACCAAGCATCTCTCTGTTCCGCTGGCCATTGCCTTACCCATAAGTGCACCTGGGGAAGATGCATAGAGACATGAAGTCATGTTCTCCATCCCCATGAAGATTGAGATTGCCTGGGGAGAAAGGACTAGGAGTAGGAAATGGCCACAGAACAAATCCTTGTTGGCAGGCACATGCCAACACAGGGCTTGGGAAGTCTGGAATGTGAGCTGTGTGGCTCAGATCAGGTGGCTGGACTGGTCCCCTTTCTTTGGGCTGGGCCCTGCTCCCACCCTCAGTCCAGTCATCTGTCTTCTGTGTGATGGTCATTTGCCCTTCTGAAGGCCATCTAAGTGAGCAAGGCCCTGTGAGAAAACCTATCTGAGACCATGTCATGTTAAGGGGGTGTTTTAATCTATCTGCTTCTGCAAATGAAGGACCACCCACTTTGAGCTCAGCAAGGTTTGGAGATGTGCATTCCTCATCTGACAGTAAGCTGCATGGTAGTGCCTTTCTAGGGGCATTTTTCCTGCCCCCCGCCTTCTAGTAGTGGTGTTGTATGTGCCTACCCAATGTGCTTATTTCCTGAAGCCTATGTCTTTGCAGCCCCCTGTCAGGCTCAGTGGTTTCTGTGGACTTTCTACAGGAGGTGAGCTTTGAGAAGGAGGAGGCTCAGAGAAAGGGACATTGCTGACTGTGCTCAGAATAAATATGAGATTGTTTGGAGGTAATGGAGTACAGGTTGATGAGGCTGGGCCAGGCCTGCCGTTTGCTGTTGGGAGCTCCATAATTGCAGAGGCTACTTGGGGATTGGAAGCATTAGGTGTGAGGGAGTCCTCTGTGTTCTTGGTAGTAAAGGGGGAATGCAGCAGAAAGTATTGTGAGAGACCCGCAGGAGAAAGGCTGACTGGGGGCTGTTGGAGTAATCCCCGTTGGGGATGGGGGAACCTGATGTCCTGGGGTAATTGGGGCAGATCAGCGATTCCAGAGAATGAGCTCCACTATGGTGTGAACCATAGTGAGATGAGAGAATCCTCCTGCAGCTCTGTAGGAGCATCATCTTACAGGGGCAGATTGAGAGACACCTGACTGCCCTATGGTCCAAAGAGTATGTAGGCTTCTGCCTTGACATCCCCGGGTGGGGCCCAGTGGTGGAGGGAAATACACCAAGTGCCTGGCTCCTACCCCACAACCCTGACACTCTAGATACTCAGACCATAGCCCTGGCCCCACTCTCTGCCCCATTTCCTACACACCATAGGCCCAAGATGTTTGCTCCACTCACTCCACGTACTAAGCTCAGGCTTTTCACTTTGCTCCCACTGTTGGCTGTAGAAACTTGACCAGCTCTAAAAGGTTCAATTCAAAGATTGCTTCCATCAAGAATGGTGCTGTGTAGTGCCTACTGAGTACCAGACACAGGGCTAGGGGTTCTGTATCCAACATGTTTAATCACAACAGTGCTGCCAGGTGGGTGTAATGCCCCATTTTACAGATGAGGAAATTGAAGCTAGCGAGGTTAAGTAACTTGTCCATGGCCTCACAGCTAGAGGGTGGAAGGCCTGGGATTTGAATCCAGGCCATCTTGGTGTCAGAGTTCTTGGCTTTTCCATCCCCACAGTCTATGTTCTTTGACATACATGTCTCAGCATGTTGCTGGAGTCTTTGTTTCAGCACTTTCTTGGGCTGTTGTCTGTGGACATCTCTTAGGCCTGTAAGGTCCTTGAAGACAGCATGTGTATCAATACTTATGTTCCCGGTACTTTTCTCCTGGCTTCTCCTGAGGGAAGCACTGGTGGTCGGTGATTCCCTGGGAAAGGACCCAAAAGTGGCTGGCAGGCAGATGGGGCAGCCCCCTCTTCTGGGGGCTGGACTCCAGTAAAAAGTGAAGAGCCTGCTGGAGATGTGTCTAGTAGTCTGTGACCAGACTTGCTTAGAAGCAGCTGCAGGAATCTTGGAAGAGGAGGGAATGCTGGGAAGGAGACGGCTATGACAGATAATTTTGAGAAGAGAAATCTGCATTTTCTCTGGGGACCAGAGGTGCCAGAGTGGAGAGGGCCAAGCCAGGGTCATGTGGGAAGTGATGGGAGACACATGTTGGCCAGATGTGAAGAAGGCCTGTGTTGAGTGTGTGAGCAGTCTGAAGACACAAAGAGCCACCTCGAAAGAGGGAGCTTCTTGTCATGAGAGATTCCAGAAGGACTGGAGCAGTTATTTCTAAAGGAGTGACACAGAACGTGAGTCATCGTCTGTTAAGACCCATACTAGAGGACTGTTACGGTCCCACTGACTTGGAGATTCTATGATTGACTTGATGTGAGATGTGATGTTGCCGGCCTAATGTTACTGCTTTTCCCAAGAGTTCTATTCCTAGAGTAAGGACAGACGAA